AAATATTCTTACTATTATGCAAAAATCTTTTTATATTGCTGTTGAATTTGAGTTAGACTCTGCCCCTTCTCAATGGGGAATTTTTGTTTACTTGAGCACTTGCAAACAAACCAGAATTCAGCAATGGAATGAGTTGATGACTGACAAAGTTTCTTGGGGTGATAAATGGTTTGCTTTGGGGGACTGGAATGATATTTGTGTAAAGGAAGATAAATCTGGTGGCATTCCAAGGAGTGATAGAAGTCTCTTAGGATTTAACTCCTTTATTTATAATATGGAAATGCAAGAGTTACCATTGCAGGGATATAAATATACTTGGTGCAATCTAAGAGAAGCAGAAGGATTGGTTGAGGAAAAACTGGATAGAGCATTTGCCTCACCAGATTGGCTGCTTGTTCACCCAAATGCCCTGACTCTTAACAAAGTGAGAAGTGCATCAGATCACTCAATGCTTCTACTATCCAAAGGAATAACTCATTCAAATTCAGCAGCTCGATTCCACTTCGAAAAAAAATGGCTCAATATGGAGGGACTGTTGGAAACAGTGACATCAGCCTGGAATCAACCCACCTCAGGCACACCTTTCTTTAAACTGAAGGAAAAAGTTAAAAACACAAGAGCATCTCTTCTCACCTGGAGTTCTCAATTCAAAACCAACAACCAGCAAACCATTGAAGTGCTCACTAAACAACTTGAGGTGCTGAGAGAAGGAAAACCTGAAGATTATTGGGACCAGTGGAGCAGAACAAGGACTCAGTTAAATGAAGCTCACAGACAAGAAGAGCTTCACTGGCAACAAAGATCAAAGCTGAAATGGTTACAGGAAGGGGACAGAAATACCAAGTTCTTTCATGCATATACACTTCAAAAAAGGAAGCTCAATGCCATTTCCAGGTTGATAACCCCAAGAGGATATGTGTTTTCCACTCCAGAGGACATTCAACACCACATAGCTGAATTCTACTCAGATTTATTCACTTCAGAGGGCAGCAGAGTGAGTGAGTCAATAATCAACCTTATACCTCCGACAATTACTTCAGACATGAACCAAAGTTTACTGAGGCCAGTTACTGAAGAGGAAGTGAAAGCAGCCTTATTTTCACTGCCACCTGAAAAGTCTCCAGGAGAAGATGGAATGAATGCACTCTTTTTCCAGCATTTTTGGGACCTGACTAGAGTGGATGTATTTGAAGCCATTCTCAGCTTCTTCCAGACAGGTGCTATCTTGAGATACTGGAATCACACCATCCTTTCTTTGATTCCAAAAACTGCACAACCAGAAAGTCTATCTCATTTCAGACCTATAAGCCTTTGTTGTGTTATCTACAAGGTGTTATCAAAAGTTCTTGCTCAGCGACTTATGACCTGTTTGCAGAGCTGCATCAGCACACATCAATCAGCATTTATAAAAGGAAGGCAGATCATGGATAACATCATAATTGCTCAGGAAGCTTATCACTTTTTAAATAGGCATTCAACAGGGAAAAATTTCTTCATGTCTATCAAATTAGACCTCATGAAAGCATTTGACAGATTAGAGTGGCCTTGTATTCAGAAAATTATGCTAAGGATGGGATTTCACACAGATTTTGTCAAAATGATCATGGTTTGTGTTACAACAACCACTATTTCTTTCAAAGTTAATGGCAAGATCAGTGGATTCATAACTCCCTCAAGAGGTGTAAGGCAAGGGGACCCTCTGTCCCCTTACCTCTTCATCATTGCTGCTGAACTTCTCTCTGCCTTGATATCAAATGCTCAATCCCTTGGTCACCTGCAAGGTCTCAAACTATCAAGCAATGGTCCTGCAATTACTCACCTTCTTTTTGCAGACGACTCATTGCTATTTTGCAAACCAGGAGAAGACCAACCTCATCACCTGTTAAATCTGCTGAACAGCTATAAATTATTCACAGGGCAAAAAGTCAATTTGCAAAAATCTGGGATTTTTTTCAGTCGGAATACACCCCAACACATGAGAGATAGTATCTGTGGTGTTCTTCAGGGCATAGTTCCTCATAGATCAACAAGGTACCTTGGGCTGCCATTGGGAATTGGAAGATCTAAGAAGGAAGTTTTTGACCACATACTCTCATCCATCAGGAACAAGCTGCAGGGCTGGAAAAGCAATCTCCTGTCAACAGCTGGAAAAGAAGTTTTAATAAAATCAGTCTTAGAGGCACTTTCTACTTTTTCAATGTCCTGCTTCAAACTTCCTGTGGGCATAAGCAAAGAAATCTCAAGATTGTGTGCTGCATTTTGGTGGAAATCTGGGGATAGTACAGGAAATGGATTGCACTGGAGGAAATGGGAAAGAGTAACCATACCAAAATCCAAGGGAGGGCTGGGATTCCATGATATCAGCCTTTTCAATGAGGCCTTAATTTGCAAACAGCTGTGGAGAATTTTCTCTAACCCTGATCTACTAGTGAGCAGAATATTAAAAGATAGATACTTCCCCAACAGCTCCATGCTCACAGCTGAAAGAACACAGAAAGGCTCATGGCTTTGGCATAGCTGGCTATCATTAATGCCTACTTTTGCAAAAGGAGTCAGAATAGAGATAAGAAATGGACTCACAACCAAAATTGATGACATGAACTGGGTGCCTAAGCTGAAAACAGCAACTCCTACTCTGATTCCAATAGCAAGGGGACATTTAATCTGGGTCAAAGACCTGCTGCAAAGTAATGGCTCTGAATGGAACAATTGGCTAGTTGAACAGGTTTTTAACCCGGAAGAGAGTGCAGCCATACTGAAGATCAACACCTTAAACCCTGCAAGACCTGACAGATATTATTGGAGTTTTGACCCTAAAGGACAGTTCACAGTAGCCAGCACATACAAATTTTTGGTGTCTCAAAAAATTCTGAAAATGGACATTCCTGAATCAAGTTCAAATCCTTTCCCACCTCAGCAGATTTATCAGAGATGCTGGAAGATAAAGATGCCAGGAAGAGTCAGACACTTCCTCTGGAAATGCATCACAGGAACATTGCCATCTACAGTCAATTTGAGGAAGAGGGGTATTGACATTAATGTTATCTGCTCCATCTGTGAAGAACAGCCCGAGACATCAGAACACATCCTTTTCACATGTCCAAGAGCAAGAAGAATCTGGGAATATGCACCAGTTCAATGGGATGGCCTGCAACTTAGCACTTCTTCTTTCAAATATTGGTGGCAACAAGTCAGCTCCATTAAGCAAACAGAGATTGTACAAGCAAGAATCCAGCTATCCACCTACTTGCTTTGGTGGTTATGGAAGTCAAGAAATCTTTGGATATTCAAAGGAACTCTCATGCCAGAACATATTGTCATCTCTGCAGCTCAAAGGGACTGGGTGGAAACAGCTTCAGCAGATTCAAATCATAATGACACAGCTTCTCCTAGTTAGTTTAGTTCTTTTGTTTTTTTAGTTTGGAGTTTTTGGTTGGAAGTGATGTATGCTAGCTAGGCCTTATGGCAGTGGAAAGTTGCATTTCTTCTTCTGTTTTTATTTTGTTTAGTCCGTTGTTGTTGAGGTTCTAGGTGCTTAATGAAGCATCTCTCAGGTTCATTGTTGTCAGTGTTGGTATTGTACATGTACTCTTTTCTTTAATATAANGATATTTCGTCAATTAATAGTAAGAATAGGTGGTTAAATTTTTATTTTTTTTTTAATAAAAAAAGTGATAATTATCTTTTAGTTGCAAAATATCATAATTTAATTTGAAAGATTTATATGCTAAACATTTATATGGCAAAATCCACAAGTGATAAGACATACATGAACAACAATGGTCAATTTAAAGATAGTTACTTGTTAAATAAAAGGATATTTTGGAAATATATTATGTCTAAATAAATTAATCTCTTCCAACCGATATCGTGAGATTCGGATATAGTACATATAAAGTTTGTTTTCAAAAAGTGAAGATATTTAATTTTATTAATAAAATAATCGATATATCCGTTCTTAATCTCATATTATGGTAAAGATATATTTCAATTTATTTTTATATTAGAATATATCACCTTTAAATAAATAAATCTTTCTCCAAGTTTTGTGAAAGACTTACTTTATAAAGGTCAGTTTCCCAAACATTCAGAGTTCAAATTATATTAAGTTGTATTTAATGATTTTCTTAGTAAAATATTTGACATGTATCAAATTTTTTAATAGAAAGAATATATTAATTTATTTTTCTTTTTAATTATGTACAATACATATGAATTATAATAGTTTTTATTTGAATACAATTATGTACAAAGATGAAAAAAATACATATGATAAAATATAATATATATATATATATATATGTATATATATATATATATGGATTTTATGAATTGGAATCGGTTCTTGTACGGTTCCTCGGTTCGGTACGATTATTTTCGGTTCTGTCCGGTTCTCGGTACGGATATTTTATGAATCTCCAGAATCGGACCAATAAAAATTTCGGTACGGTTCGGTTCGGAGATAGTCAAATGATCGACGGATATTTTTCGGTTCGGAGTAAATTCGGTTCGGTTTTCGGTACGGTTCGGTAATCTCCAAGACCCGTGCTCAGCCCGAAGATGGATTAGATGGTTTTATCTAGAGACCTAAGATTGGGGTGTAGAGATAAGAATACACTTATGTTTGTTATGTTTGATTAACTCAAGAATATGTGTTTGCTTCCCTAGATAAAGAATAAGATTGGATGTACATTTACAAATATGCCCCGCATTTAACTATATTATTTTTATCATCATAATTTGTTTTATGCATTTGTTTTCCTAGATAAAGAATATGATTGTATGGAGATTTATAAATATGATCCTCATTTTAAACTACATTATTTTTTTCCTCCTTTCCTTGTTGGCTACATGTTCGAGAGCTTCATGTTTTTTGCATGGCTCTAAAATTCCTATTGCAAACAACTTCTCATTTTTTTTGTATAATTTTTCATTTTTTATTTAAATACATTAATGGCTTTTTTTTACCTAATTATTGTTGTTTAATATTCTGTACTTAGATCCTTTTCAGACAGGTTTACATATCGAGCACTTTTTATTTTTGAGATAATTACCCACCGCACGACCCCATTTAGTCTTTTTTAACTTTATACGACCCCATTTTTTTCATTGGCATATGTACGCCATATATTTCTCCTCCTTTCCCTTTCAATATTCTTCACTCTTTCACTTCCAAAATCTCTATTTTTCACGTATCAAAAAATCTCTAATTTCCGTTCCTTTTTTCTCCCAAAATCCAAGATCCCCAAATCCCAAACGAGCAATTAAAAAGCCGGACAAGATCTTCCGCAGCCGCATCGCCGCGAACAAAGGCAGATCTTGGACGCTTCCCGGAGGCCTTCAATCAGAATCGGTCGTCGGATCTCTGCATAATTTGGTCGCCCCTTCGTACCTCCACCAGAGAACCACCTTTACCCGTCGATCTCCACCTTCGAGACACAAACAAAGTCCGAGATTCAGATGCCCAGTGCCTCGCCACGCTGCCGCCTGTTGCATTTGACCCACGGGATCGGATAAGAAACCCTGGCGTGGAAGAACGGGCATGTCTGGGCTATTCGACTCGCCACTGTTTGATAAAAAATAGTTTGTTTATCAATTTTAAATAATTTACTTATCAATTTATGGGTTTATTTATAGTTTAATTTGTGTATGAATGTTGTATATTTATTCTGAATATTTTCATGTCTATGGATAATATGAATGTGTTATATATATATATATATATATAATATGTTTATTTTGTGGTTTTGTTGTTTTTTGATGGGTTCTTGTATTGTTTTTTAGATATTTTTCATAATTATAGGTACATGAATGGTTTCCTTCTTGTGTATTTTTGGTTCCAGGATTTATTTTTTATTTTTTGGTCCATTAATTTCTCATTATCATGAGGTCATAGGTATATGAATGGTTTTCATGTTGTTTATTTGTGGTTCTAGGATTTTTTTTTTTTGTTTCCATTAATTTCTGATAATCATGAAGTTATAGGTATATGAATGGTTTTCATCTTGGTTATTTGTGGTTACAGATTTATTTTTCTTGTTCCATTAAATTTTAATAATCATGAAGTTATTGGTATATGAATGGTTTCCATCTTGTTTATTCGTTGTTCCAGGATTTTTTTTTTTGTTCCGTTAATGTCTGATAATCTTGAAGGACTAGAGTAATTTTGTTTCCATATTGATGGATATTCGTATTGTGGTATTAGAATTTTATAAATAACATAATTATGTGATAAAAAATTGTATCTCGTTCAAATGGTATTGCTGCAAATTATAATCGTATGTGCGTCTTTTAGCCTTCAGCAAATTAATATCTAAAAATACGACTCCATAATATAGCAAACCCAAATCAAATGAGCTTGAAGAGACCTTTTAATGGAACAAAAAATACATTAAACAGAAAAGTAACTAAAATAAGAAAAAAAAAATCTTTCTTACATTAAACCAGACGAATCAAATGTTAATTTTTAACCATCTCCCCTGAAAATTCTTAAGAAACATGGGAGAAACCTCAACCACCCCAGAATCATTACAAGTCTCACCATTAACGTGACCAGCAGACATATCAAAGACTCTCATTGAGTCCGACTCATAGAGTAGAGTTGCCAACAAAAACAACTCTCTTATTCTGCAATGCTTCCAGAACATGCCGCACGGTAACTCTTGGGATTTCACAGTTTTTGGGCTTCCACCTCCATTTCAGATAATCCTCATCCTCACGGCCACTTATCAAGCAGTTAAATCCTTGCTCCACAAAAAGGCACTCCGAGGCATTATACCCTTGCTCCACATCGCAAAGCCTACTTGATATATACAGATTTATTACTCTTTATTAGTTCACAGCAGCTAAAAATCCTTTCAACAATTTATATTTGCTTTTATAAATTGCTTCATATATTGAAAATATATCCAAATTACAAAATTTCAATGAGTAGCAGGTGCCAAAAGCTCCTTCAATGGCCCAAGTCATTTTTCTTCTTCCTTTTACTGCACAAATTATCCCACATCACAAATAAATAAACAAGATCACCCTATTGACAATAACTGCACCAATCAATACTTCATTATCTTGGAAACTAAAATATAATCCACATATAAACGTTATGCCATCAAAAAAGTTACCTGGAAAAAGAAATACTCAAAATGGTCATTCGTGAGTGTCTGAGACGACTTAATGATCTGGTGCAAGTCGGTATCCATAAGCTTGTAAACCAAGTACACATCCTTGAAACTCCCCTTGTGATTAGGTAGCATTACATCTTTGAGAGCTATAACATTCTTGGTGCTAAGGTGCCTGATAACTGAGAAGCTTCAACTCGCGTAGGGTTCTCAATGCATCAACTCTATTTTCGAAGGCATTGTGTATCTTCTTGATCGCAACCTTCTCACTGGTCTCTGTTGACCGACGAGCACACTATCCCATAGGCCCCACGTCCTATGGGCTTGATCAGCACATATTTCGTGTCAATCTCAAAAAGCATCTACCACATGGAGTAGTAATGCTTTCTTTGGGATCGGATCCCATTCGGAGGTTTCACTGGAGTTGCCATGCTATTTGAAACCATCATTTGAAAGATTAAAGTTTGAACAAAAATGAGAGTCCATGGGTTGAAAATTGTACTAAAGATCAACTTTCGTAATAAAATCTCACCAAATCTAACACACAATTTTTATAGGGATGAGCATTTCCCTTTCTAAACTCAATCAATAACCAGTATGGAACAACATAAACAACAATTTTTCTCAAGAAATCCATGAACATATACAAGAAGCATTGATGAATCTCTTTCATGTAATGTGAAACACGGGAGATTCTCCTATTCAATAAATATGATAACTTGAGAATGTAACTCTGAGCCTCAAAGATATAATCAGCTATACAAGATTTAGAGGCAAATGCTTTCACATTTAGCTTTACAATTCCCTCATAATAAAAACCTCTTAAACGAAATAGAACAACTGTATAGATCGAAAATGGGCATGTACTAAAAAACTCGACTGTAAATAAAAAACTTTTCGTAAAAAGATGGAATTTCCCGATTTGTTTTACCCAAAAAGCGTCAGTCAGGTACAATCACACATAAGCTACATAATTTCGCAGGGGAGACGAAAATAGAACACGAACAATTCCCGAAAAAAGCGAACAGAAAAGCAATAAATAAGGTTAAAAAGGACAGAGATGAAAATCGTACCAGATCTGTAACAGCATCGTACAAGAAGCCATAGTGGCGGTATCAGCAGGGGCAGTAGAAGAAGCACGATGAGGGAATCGTGAGATAGCGGCGGCTAGCGGCTACCGTTGGCTCAGTTGCCGCCGGATGTAGGGAGAACGACAACGATCGAACAGATTTGCGACGACGGTGCAAGAAGAAACAGTAACCATTAGTTTTCCCTTTTGTAATGGTCATTTTGTAATTTAATTACACATGAAGGTTGTTTTGGGTAGAACACATAAATTTTAGGGATAAAATGGATATTGATGTACAAATTTTCTGTGCAGACTAATTAATTCAATGGCCCGTTAGTCTTGCATTCCCAAGATAACACCATTTTTATCAGGAGCCGTGTCTAATCCGGGCCGTAATCTTTGCTAACAAACACAAGTCAGGGTAGATAAGAGGCTTAATTTCATCTAATCTATACTTATATTAAAGGAGGTATTATTTACCAAATTAAGTAGCCAGAAAAGTCAACAACATTTATTGCATTACTATTTTCGTATTATATTATATAAAAGGATATTCTATTTACTACATGATATAGCCACATAAGCATAGCCCGGTCCAGAAGCTCCTTAACCAACAAACCACTCGCATTACTCGCGTGTCGACATGATTCAGCCGACATGCCCAAATCGACTTTCCCTAAGGAAGATTTTACTAAGAGCAATCAAGAAGCAGAGATGGGTCTAGTCGACACCCTCGAGTCGACCTTGACCTATCGACTCTCACTAATCGACATCAGTAAGAAGAGGAGCAACGAGAGTACAGCTCCCGTTCATCCAGATATTCTAAGTCGACCCCGAGAAGTCGACTGAATTAAGACGACTCTCTGAAGATGACTTCGCCTCAAAGAACTAGTCAAGCGTAGCCTCCGAACTCGCATATACCCACGAGTCGACTTCTTAGATCTCGAAGTCGACTCCACATACCTCGAGTAACAAAGATATGACGACGACTCATCACACTTGTAACACTTGAAATCCTACCTATTATGAAGGATAAGAAGGAATCTAGCGGTGACTCAGCACTAAGGGGAGACGAATCGACCGGGGCATTTTGGACCTTCTAGGTCCACCGATTGGGGTATTTTGGGTACTCTGCGTAAGTATTCACTCCTATATAAAGGAGATGAGGTAACCCTAAACCCTAACTCTCATTCATTCTCACTTTCCCTATAGCTGCTGCGCAGCCCTTCTTCATCCCTTTGATACTGACTTGAGCGTCGGAGGCTCTACGCCGGAAACACCTCCGGCGTTGAGTTTTTGCAGATATTCTTGCGGTCTAGAGACGGTTTCAAGGCGGTTCAAGCAGATCTGAACTCACAACCACCGGTTTACTCCGGATCCAGAAGTAGACCCATCA